CGCCCATGTAATATCCTCTATATATTTTAGACCTTTTTTTTAAATATAATTTTTATATGTTGTTGTTATATTGTTGTTTTTTATATTTATTATATGTTGTATATCTTTATTTTTTCAATTAAATAGTATTTTTATCACTATTTTTCATCAGCATTTTAGCGCATATATTTGTATTTTAATTGACGTAATAAGCAGGACCCCTTTGAAAAACTCCACGGACATACTAGCACCCTGAATAGATATCAGTATTGTTTATTATTTTCTTAGTTAGAGAAAATAATAAACATGAATTCAATAATATAGGTCACCAGAGAGGACAAATAATAGCGATTTTCTAGGTCAAATATACTGGAAAGATGCGTAAGTTCAGTTTAAGYATTAATTTGAAAGCATGAGTTGAGTCTGAGTAAAAGATTGAAATATAAAAGTGATAATACCCATGATACGCATCGGTCATCTTACATCTTTTGCTTTAAAAGACTGGAAACAGCTTTTTTTTGTAAAGAAATTTTTGGTTATGAAAAATAATAAAGAAACTAGCTGGTACCTTAGGTTAAGGACTTGATCTTTTGTTCAAGGATAAGGCAGCGCGTTCATTTAGCTCCAACTGTCATCAGCAACAAAATATTTAAAGTCATTATACCTCGACTGTGCATGCGCAATTTGCCACGCATGCGTAGTGAAACAAACTAAAACCCACAACACTTAGTTGGCTTCCTGCTTTCACTCATTGGTTCGTAATTAGTAATCAGAAAAGTGATACAGTTAGGCAGTATGGTATGTCGTTAGAAAGCCAGATCAAATTAGTCTGGAGATCTTTTCGTCTTCTCAAATGAGAATTCACAAGTTTTATCCAACCACCTTCCGAATTCTCCTCCTTCTTTAGCTTGTACTTGACCTTGTTAGTAAAACAGCACTAGAACTTAAATTGTCTAGAATGAAAATACGAAATTTATATCTTATAGAAAAATTCTGTACTAGCACACTTTGAAGTATATATTAACTAAAAGACACTGAACGCATGAAGGAAGGAAGGAAAGAAATTAATTAAGAAATTAAGAATAAGATTCTTCGTTTGAGTTGTTCCATATATATTTTTTAAGTATCTGTCTACTCATGCGCAACAGTAAACAAAGAAATGATACTCATGGGAATGACACGTGGCATGAAAATATCTCACCACGGCGAATAAGATCCATTCCAGGGTTTTTCTCAGGTTTCTCCGGTTTTCCTCCCTCCGCCTAACCCTACATGATAAATTCAATTCAATCAGTGAGATAGTCGTGTAATGGCTTGAAGAAATTGTTTCAGGATTCGATTTAAACAAACAAATAAATAACAATTAAAGTAATACATGTACTGAGCTTTTGTCAGCCAAAGAAGTGCCCTCGAGATTTTTTCTTAATCATAAAATCTTTTTCATCCGGTCAGAAACCTTATTATTGGTCAAGATTAAACACAATTTCTACCTTAAATATGCACAATCTAGTACGATTTATGGTATTTTCAATGCTTATCTTTTGGGGTTAAAAAATATTCAATCAACCTCAATCTCACAAAATAAAACTGGTTCACGAAAGTAGTTAGGGCTAACCCTTCATAAAATTAAAATAAAAGGTATATCATATCAAAAACATATAGTGATATGCATCCATCACCGRGCCAAAATAGGAATCTTACATGAAGTAGTAATCGGAAGAATACTTGATTACGACCTCGATTACCGAGCCGAATGAGAATCGTGATAGTCGTTCGCCCTGACARCATCATACAATCTTCTATTACAGGAAAGGCAAAATGAAAAAGATAGATAAAATAACTGAGAAATATAAAAAAGTCTATTCATTCCGCACCGCAAAGGCTCCGCATATTTGGCAGGAAACAAAGACAGTAATTACATTCAAGATGTGTCGTCTGATAGCGATCAACTTGGAAATTAACCTTATCTATTTTAGGAATGCAAGGTCTTTTCTTACCGAAAGCGTGCGTCGGTTAATGTCTCCCTTTGTTATGCTATATGTTGGTTTGCTTTTCTTTTAATCATCTGTTCCGAGGTTGGGTTTGGGCTGAGTTGGTAATAGAGGCGACTAACTGAGTCGACATTGATAAGTGAGAGAGAGATAAAGAGAGAGAGAGAGAGAGAGAGAGAGAGAGAGAGAGAGAG